GTACATGCTGATTCTCCTCCTAATTTCTGAACGGTGCCTTCTTTCAGCATCATCTTCTCCTATCCTTGGGAGAAGGATCTCCTTAGCATCTCTGTCGAGTCGCTGATGATACTCCAGTGTACTTTCACTGGTTGTTCTTTTCATGAATTTTTCACAAGTTTTGGTTTTGTCCTGGCCTGTGGCCCAGGGATATTTTTTTGTTTCCTCACTATTTTGTGAGCAGTTTATCTCCTTCAGCAAGTCCATCTGCTTGCTGATTTTGTCAGTCAACACATCGATTGCATTGGCCATTCTTTCTAGAGTTATCTCTAGATGAGCCATGCTATTATGGCTTGTTTCCTCGATCTTTTTTTGGATCGAGTTTATCATGTTTATTATGTGCAATTCCTGGTTTTCCAGGAGGAAATTTGGCTAGGCGAGTAGTGACTCTCCCCAGTTGACATTTCCACTTCTGGGGGTTCCAGAAGGAGTTCTCGGAGTGAACACTCCGCACTCGCTTTGTTTAGGTGAGGCCGTTGTGGAGGGTGCTTCCCTTTCATAGAGGGGTCTGTTAGCTGGTTTTTCTGTAAGGCTTCCTCAGTGAACTCCCTCATTTCGGTTCGCCTCTCAGAGACCTCTGAGGTTGGCCACCTTGCCTTGTCTGGCATGGCATGGGGTAGTGTGAACAGCGGAAGTTCTTTTGGAGCTTCCGCACTCTGGGAGATCCTGCCCTCAGGGCGTTTTTTTGCACCTTCTCGGGCTTCCAGCCTGAGAAGAAGTTGGTCTTCGTTTTCCATCCTCCATTCAGATGGAACCTGGAACAAGTCCAGTAGTTTTTCAGATAGCCGACACGGAGGTTCTTTCCTCTGTTTCCCTTTGTCTGCCTTTGGGGCTTGACTTGGGGACATGGGGGAGGACCCCAGGGGATAGTGGGGCCCTGGAGTTTCCTGCAACTCTATCCAATCAGCTTTTTGGGCCGATCGTTCAGTGCTTATGCATTTGTCGTGCAAGTTGATCACCTCCTGAGGAGGTGAGAGATCTTCCCCAGCTTGGGTTAGATCGATGTGATGTGGGTATTGGGCCCCACACTTACTCACATAAGTTTCTAAAACCTTCAGGGGCCAGCCCTGAGGTGGTTGCTTTTTCCGGATCGTGTTGATCCTCATCATTGTCTGATGATGGCTGTTGATTTGAATCTCCCATGATGGGAGATTGCGGTTTCTTAATAAACCACTCATTCTTTTTTATCATCACTGCAGATGCAACCTTGCCCTTGTGGGCATGTTTAGGCGCCATTGGCACTACTGAGTCAAATTGTTAAGATGTGATAGGTTTGGTGGGTTGTGTTGTAAAACACACCTCATACACTTAAAAAAGTGTGAGGTCTCAGTGGGTAGCTCAGCACACAGAGCTGTAAGTGATACAAAGATGTGTATTTTACAGTGTGTGTAAGCAGTTCACCGGAAGTTACCGCTTACCCACATGACTATATGTATCTTGTAATTACATATGGCTCGGGCTATTGCCCTGACAGTGTGATTGTCTTGACCAAGTCATCCTCGTGGGATGGGATGGTTATGGATGGGCCTGGCCCTGCATTCTTGCCTGTGCCTGTGCAGGTAAAATGCATTAGGTCATTTTTGACTGGGTCAGTTCTTAGGCCCCTTTCCCTGAGCCACTTGCGGGCTGCATGAAAGGCAAGTCTGATAATCTCTGTTGCTTCCTCCCTGGTTTGAGCTGCGGCTGACAGGGACCCATCATCTATGTATAGTGTGAGGGGGAAGATGGTGGTTAGTGTCAGGGCATGCCTTCGGGTTGCTAGCATAAGTAGCACATTGCCACATGACCCATATCTGTCATATCCATACAATCCTGACCTCCGCTCTGGGCTCCTGGAACTCCGAACTCCGACTTCCGGAGCCCTACTTCCCTTCCGTCACTTTCTCCTTGCCGACTCCCAAGAGGTTATCCCACCTCCGGCTTGGACACCACCTTTGGTCCGACTCCGGAACATTCCGGGTCCGACCCCAACCTCGACACCTTCCAGATGAGTACGCAAAACCTATGCTCCCGACTCCAGACCTCCGCTCCGGAATCCCGTTCGCGTCTCCGTCTCCGGAACCTCCGGTCTTAGCTCCGACCTCGGACTTTGACCCCACCTCCGCTTATACCCATTGTATTGGTTAGCTCATTCCATTTAATTATGTTTGCCAATATTCCGGAGTTTAACCTCCGAGTTCGGACTTTCCGGACTTACTCCAGACCTTGCAACTATTGCATTGTCCATTTCAATTCCGCTATTCTCCCTCATTCCTATTTGGGCTGCTGCTTCCTTTCTATTCAGTCAGCTAGCCATTCCCAACTCCCATCCTCCTTCCTTCCTTCTTGGGCCTTGGCCCTTCATTCCTCCTTTGGGAAACACCATTGAGTCAAACACTTGACCCTCGGTGTTGTTCCTCTTTCCATTTCCCTTTGTCTCCTTTTGTCCTACCCTTGTTCCTTTTGATTCCGGACCCCTCCTTATATACAATGTACCTAGTAACTTGTAACCTCAGTCCGAAATCGACATGAATTCCCCCAAGAGACTTTCCCTCTGCTAGATCCGAAATTAGGGACCCCTAGGACAACCAGCAATGGCACAGCGCTCCGCCTGAGTTGCTGAGGCCGAGGTCCTTCCATGCTAAGTCTCCGATTCCGCTCCGGAGTCATCCGAATCCGCCCATTCTAACAATATCTCCATCTGACGAGGACCCATAGGGTACAGGTTCCATAGGACGATACACATGTCGAGAGTCTTCGACTCGCGACCTCGAGTTCTCACGGCAAGGGCCGTTAGAGGACTCGATATAACCAGACTTATAAGACATATTTTGAGAGTTGTACAATCACACAGTTCAGTTGAGTCACAGGGAGGGTTGTTACAGAAGATGGTACACGAGACAGTTGTAGAGCAGTTGTTAGTTAGCGGGAACCGCCTTTGGCGGTTTCTGTACAAGACACGTGACTATCTACAAATGGTAAGGTCGCGGGAAATCCTGCGAAACACACCAAAACCCCAATGGGGAAAGCTTTGCATGAGGGGGGGGAAAGGGGTAGAACGGGTAAGGAGGATAGGGTATCAGGATAGAGGACGGAAGGGAGAAAAAGGGGAGGCACGATAGAGAGAAGAAGTCTTTGACCATGTGACGGATATGGTCGTTGGTGACTCCGTATCCGTAACATTGGATGTGAATAGGAGCAGGCGACAGAGAGAAAAAGATTGTCAGTTAGGTCGTCAAGACAAAGAATGAGTAATGAGGAACAAGGAATGGAGAAGTCGAGGAAGACATCCTCCCCTTTGTCATCGCGATGACCTCAACATGCGATAAACGAGCACCCTGCGGGAAGAACAATAGGACAGGGAAAAAAGGAACCTTGCAAGTTACTTGGCGAGCAAATAAACTACTCACCCACCCGGCCTGCCCAGGAACATCATCTCCGCCGATACACCACTATTCGAAGGAAACAACTCTCATGCCGAGTGCTATTTGTGAGACCAGAGAGGCATAGGACAGAGAGGAAAGAGAGCGTCGAGGAAAGTGAGAAAGGCGTGGTGTAGAATCCGTTTGATGAGCTGTTGCAAAAGCGAGGCTGATGGGTGTGCAAGGCACAGGGTAATGTGAATGGAGATGGCATAAGCCAAAAAGCCAAGTGTTGGAGCAAGAGCACAAAGCTGGGGGAGTCAATTGTAGATAGTCGACAATATCATCACAAATAAAGCGTTAGCATTACCAGCAAACATAATGGAGGTAGCAACGCAATTGTCCATGGAAAACAATAGAACAAACAACCTGCGATATTTTTTCACCATGTCACTGAATGGGCATCCCTAAGAGAATGATCGTATCGGAAGGCCATTGGGTGAAAGGGAAAGAGCACTCACTTCATATGTCATTCAAACCACAATGGCCGAGGTGTGTCCCAGAGGCTGATCCACAGCAGAGTTGACTGTCGACTAAGCCTGTCTTGCGGGAGCATGAGTCAAGGCGTGAAAAAAAGAGGAAGACACAGGGTTTGCAAGGTCCCATATCTTTCCCCCAGGGCTCGGGTCCATGGCCCCTCCCCCCTTTCACCACCAACACAACCTCACCGTGAAGAAAATAAAAATTCTCATCGAATTATCCCCCATATATTTCAAAATCCGGGAAATGCCATATATTTATATGTCTACCCTGCGCCGCTTACTGCTTCAGCATGCTGGTCACTGCTCCCCAGCGCTGCCTCTGCAATGTTATGGTTACTCCTTCCTTGAAGGACATCTCTGTTTCTGAATTTCCGTCTTGACTCCCCCCCCCCAGGTGAGTGCTGATCTTCATCGTCCCTAACTGTGGTTTGTGACTCACAGTGACCAGGTCACTACCGATTTTTGAAGGGGCGGGTTTCTTGGGAAGTGGACCTCCATTCCGGCTGCGGCGCAATCATGGGTATCGGCGGCACATACCACGACACTTGAAGCAAGAATAAGGGTGTACCTTTGGTTCAAGAAGTTGCACTCCCAGTCGCATCTTTGCTTGTATGAGTATCACGCTGATCGTTGTTGGAAACACTGATGCAGAGACGACCTATGCCAGTGGAGCTGAAATTAATATGTCTAAGGAAAGAGTACATATCTAGATCAACTCTGCTCACCTTCATTGGAAACAGACTCAGAGTTGTCGTTGTCCAACCCAGCGCTGCCCGTCTGGCACGGCCGCCATCCAGTTCAGTGTCACTCTCGCTGGGGTCTCCCATTGTTGCAGTATTGATCCTCCTAGGGGAATACTGACCTGCCTTCACCTGGATGGTGGGGTGGAAAAGCATGTCAGCAGTCGCTTGGAAGACACAAGAGAAATGTGGCACCTTTTTCGTCAAAAGTATGTCTCGCGATTCTCTTGATTAGGTCCTGAACAGGCCAAGCACCCTCATATTCCGACCCAATTCATAGATTTTCCCCGACGATCTACGTGATGTAGAAGATTGCTTACAGAGTAGTGGGAATTCCCATGCTAACCCAGGGTCCATCTCTTGTCGAAGTTGCCCAACCTGCTTGTCCAGGGACCCCTTCCGATTCACTTGCCCTTTCAACTCTGCCCATTCTATCTTTATCTAACACTCCTCTAATTTCCGTTGCCAATGAAGCCTTCATACATGGAACCTCGACCATCACTGGCCCCAACCACTGGCCCCAACCACTGCTGACTGTCCTGGGCGCAAACTCGATATCCCTGTGGATGCAGATCCTGAGGATGATCACACTACTCTTTATCACCTGCTCGACGAGGAAGGAGTAAGCGACTAGGTAATGACGTGGACATTCTCAGTGCGATTCAACAAGCCACCAATGCTGGTTTATTCATTGACAGCATCACCGAAGAAATCATTGCTGAGTTCACGCTTGATCCACTGATGGCTGCTCCGGGTTCGCAACATGCTTTTGCTCAGCATGTGGTACTCTGGATCAGTTGCAGTGGTTTGTTGCAGTGGTTTGATGATTACAAGTTACGTAAACAAGCTGCCAAAGTTGCTCTCAAAGCGGCTGGCACTGCTAACCCTTCCTCTACTTCCCCTTCCCAGCTACCCTATGACCTGGGGCTAATCTAATGAATGAGGACGCGTTCTGTAATCAAACAACGTCTGAGCCAGTGGCCGACATTGTCTTTCTCCCCCTCCCCTCCCCATTCACAAGGTACTTGAGTCCGTTTCTCATACGTTTTCTCTCAACTTGGAGCAAGAACATGCATTTTTTTTTGGTCACAGTCATTTTGCCTTGCGATCGTTATGGATTTTCTCATTCTAGCCGCACCATTTTGGCCCACCCCTTTGCTTGTGTGCCGTCAGCCATTTGCGCCGCAACCACAAACTTTGGCTTATGCAAAGCGCTTGTGGGATAAGGAACTCCCTTTTGACCTTCCCCCCCCATCTTCTAAAATCTAATCATACAATTTGTCTCCAACAACCAACCAACCCGTGGGAACATTCTGGGAGAGCAACTCGCCCAGCATACCCACTGGGCACTGCCACCCGGATGCCCCGGTCATGCTGCACAACTCTTTATATAGCAACAAGGTACCGCATAGGCAAGTGTACATATCTTTTATCATACATCTCATTGCCTGAGGACAGGCAGATGGGAGATGAGGGTCAGGGCACCTCCGAGTCCAAGGCCGGGCCCTGACAATCATGATGCCATTTTTGTCCATCGCGGGAAGGGGCATGCCTTCTGCATCACTCTCTACGTCGATGACCTCATGATCCTATCTAACGTAAGCTTCTTAACATGTCAGGAGGTCTCAACTCATGAAGGCCTTCAAGATGAAGGACCTTGGGGACATTCACTGGTTTTTAGGTTGCACAATCTGCCCCAGCGCCTACTCTTCGTATCTCAGACCCGCTACGTAAAGGACATTCTCTCACATCTTGGTCTTGCTGACTCTCATCCCATTTTCACCCCCATCGCATCCAATTTTAAACTACCTCGATGCTCCTGAAGTCAACGTGCGCGACTACCAATCCCGAGTCGGTAGCATCATGTATGAGATGCTCAGTACACATCCTGATATTGCATATTCAGTGGGCGAATACTCCGCCAATCCCAGGAAGGAACATCTCACTGCCGTTAGTCGGGTATTCAGATACTTGACAGAACTACAAGTTAGTTTACAACAGTAAAGTTTGATTTTACAGGCTACTCCAACTCCGATGTGGCAGGTGACTTGCACGATCATCGATCCATTTCCGGCTTTGTATTCAAGATTGCCGGCGCTGCCGTCTCTTGGAGTTCAGAGAAACAGTTTGTCAATGGCCCTGTCCAGCATGGAATACATTGCACTGACTCACACGGCTAAGGAAGCCATCTGGATTCAACAATCCCTTGGTGATATTCTCAGTCCCCCTTCCATTCCTCATACCATTCTCGGCGACAATCAGGGCGCTCTTGCGCTTGCCACCAATCCCACCTTCCATGCGCGGACCAAACACATTCGCATCAGACAACACTTTTATTCGAGAATGCATCAACAATGGAGACGTAGAGCTCGATTACATCCTGACAGCCCATCAGGTGGCTGACGTTCTTACTAAAGGACTTGCGCTGGCCAAACACGACAAGTTCACCAATGGTTACTGCTGTCACGACCATGCATCCCGGCCTGTTAGCCGCCCATCCCGATGCTGCCTGAGCCCATTCCTGCTATGCGAGCGCGAGCGCGAGCCCCAAACTCAGCCCTATCCTCCATGAGGGCTCCCTGCTCACTTCCCCGCTTGCCCCTAGGCTCCCCTGCACCTGGCCGACTCCCCCACAGCCACACCGACCTCCCTGCCCCGAGTCCGCCTCTGGCACCAACCTAGCGTGACTCCGCGACATCGCCTACTCCGCTATGATACCATCGCCGCTATCGCGGCCCTACACCCCTTCGTTTATTTATCTGTTATTGTTTGTTTTGACCCTCGGTCATTGCCGGCTGCTGTGCGGCCAACCCCGCTCGTTGTTCCTATTTGCTTCCGGACCCTTCGGCCTTCGGCCCGGGTCCGCTTCTATTCATTCTATCTTCATATATATATCCTGTATACTACATTATAGTACCTCAGCTCTAATATCGACTTGACCACGACCCCAAGCCCTGACCCCAACAAGGCAGCCCCAGTAAGTTCGAAATGAGGGCCAAGAGACAACTAGGGGGCACAGCACTCCCTTTAGAGTTGCTGAGGCCAAATGCCCTACCCTCGGGCCTTGTCTGAGGCATCGCAGCCATCGCGGCCCTTAGCGGTCCGCATCGGCGACCTTCGGTGCCCGACCCCGGATCAGTATCTAACAACTGCGAGGGTTTGGGAGTTGTGAGATCTTCATCGTGGCTAACAACCATTATACCCCAGAGTTGCCAATTTTACAGATACCACGCACTCTCAATCTTGCTTGTCTTGATTATTTTTCATCACCGGTTATCAGTACAGGCAATCGCTTTAAGCAATATTGGTGCCAGTCGTATAAGTTACGCTGGGCACTGTAATTTTTCCCTCTCCCTCAGTTCTCCATGAGGCGATATTATTTCTTTTTACCTATGTTTGCATGTATTTTCATGTTATTGTCTATGCGTATAGGGAAGTAACCGTAACAGTAACAGCGCATGTAATACATTTCTGCTAGCACATGTGGATGAATGGGAGGGTGGGAAAGTGAATACTCCTGACCAAGCAAGGTAACAGCGCAACACTATGCCAGCAGTAAGGTCCCATAGCCAAGAAGATCTTGGGAGGAGCCCTGTTACTCTGCACAGAGTCATACACCCATGGCAATATTACGCTTTTTCGATGCTGAAAATTTGTCATCTCTTTCCCCTTTTGGTTTCTTTCTTTTCACTTTACATAATTTTTCTTACGTTTCAAGGTGTCAATGTGCCCCTTGGTATCGGTTCAGTTTGATCAGTACCATCGTATCTGAAGGCCACCATGTATGACCTTCACTTGCTGCCATGCCATCCGTTTTTTTTTCCTTGTATCGTGTTGTTGCGAGAAAGATGATTGAATTCCATTGACACTTGCAACATAACAACATAGTTATTTGATGAGAATAGAACAAGTGGGCAGTGCAGAGTCTGGTGAAGCGCAAGCACTCTAGTCTGTGGAAAACAGGGGGTTTCTCTTGGTAAGTGCAAGCTCCTACATCAGCAAAAGGTCCTCAGGGTTTCACTTCAAATGGTTTGAAAACAATTGAGTTCACTTCTGAACTGAATTGAAACGTGACACCTTTACTAAAATGCTTTGGGAAATTGGTCAATTCGGCCAGTTTCATTGTATTAGAAGCAACAGGATCATCAGAAGTGTCCAAAGTTGACTGCGACAATTTCCTGATGTAATGAGTCTTTGACAAACAACTTGTGGAAAATCCGTCAGCCCTGCCACACCCCCTGCCACCCCGAAAGAAAGCCAAATAGTACAAGGGGAGCGGAAGAAAGGTAGGTATCTACTGTGAAGTCGCACTACTCAGGCTCCCACCACGTTATCAGCTGTTCAACCCAGGTACTCAAAGGGCCCGAAAACGCGACGACATAAATAACTAGAGTGCTCGACCGTGTAACTTGGATTGTTGTCCTAATCATTGTCATATTAAAACAATTTACAAGACACAGATTGGACACAGTATAATGGCCCACTTGTGCGCAATCAGAGCAATGGAGTAGCGTGGCAATGCCCCCAACAAAAGTTGATGCCTATGCCTTGCCGTGCCTGCATCTGTATTGACGTGTCGCAATCGTTGTGAACCACATCTTAGTTCGTACCATCACCGCCCTCATCGCCTCGCTACCACCTTCTTCGTCATGCTTCACCACAGGTGGTGTCATTGACATCATTCCAGGGGCGACATGTGGAACGATTTCCGATCCACATAGATATGCGCTTAGTGCACGTACTACTAAAAGAGTATAACACCCCCAAAGCTGAAGAAAATTGTAGCGTCCCTGAGATAATCTTGTTGTATTACATTAGCATGAGACGATGAGACGATATTACATATTATTATGCATTGAAATGAAGGAACGACTAAATAGAAGTGGAACACGCATCAGCCAAACAATTCCACACATTCCGCTTCGCCAGGGATGGTTGGTTGAGGGTCGTTGATCCCAAATCTGTCATAAACAAGAAATATTGCTGCTGCTTGCTCTCTGTCGGAGCTCGCGAGCAAAGAGTGGGTCCAAGAGGCACCAAGTAGGGTTTGATGAGGGGAGAGAAAGGATTTGACGCTTCACTCTATGTCGATGCCTGTGTCTGGCGGCGCAGCATCAAGTCCTATATGGACCGCTTGCACATCGGCCATTGTCCACACTCCACAGTCGTACCCGTTCCATTGGCGTTGTTTTGGCTGGAGTATTTAGTTGTACACCCAGTTGGGGCCGGATAATACTGCCCTTACCGTAATGACGGTGTTGGCCCAGTTCGTCCAGTCATATCCTTGTGGCCCCTGAGGATGAACAGAACACTAGATGGCATCGACCAGCTGGCAGAGCACCAATTGATTGCGCCGAACGTTATCCACAGGGCTTGCAGTAGTCCCGTGAGGGACTTCGGACGGTGAACCGCGCGTCACCCGTTTCAACAGTTTCTATATTACCCGTCAAATCCACCAACATTTCCCTTGGGTGGTCACCGGTAGATATGGTTCCGAGCAGATCATGGTTTATCGCACTGCCGGCGTTGTCGTCAGTTAGCATTGCCTTCATCACCGTTACATCCAGTTCAAGAGCGCATAGTTCATTGCGGGCTCAGCATCATCTTTAGGGTCGATTTCAGAGGTTTCAAACATTCAGATAAGATCAGGGAACAAGGAAAGATGGAATGAGAAATAGTCCTTGCATGTTGGTAGAGCAACGACCTCAGGGTGATCAACCCTACTGCGTTATGACAATCCCCCCTAGCTGTACACTCAGGGTAACAAATAGAGTGCAATAACAATAGCAACTCCTATTGGATCACACTCGCGATCATCTGTAGCGCATTGCATATATTCGGTAAGATCTACGCCGGTCAATCTGGTCTTAGAGGGGTATTGCTATGGTGGCGGGGTTTCCATTGCAATTAGAAGTGCATCACATTCGGAAGCGCAG